TTCCTGGTATTTCCTGGTTCCAGGCAGGCTGAAAAACACTGTGAGAATGTGGTGGCTTTTGGTATGTCCATTTATGGGCATGAATCAAAGGAACTGCAGGGAGGAAAAAAAGTGGAAAATGAGAGGAAAAATAAGTTAACTGAGCTACTTCCTCTCTCGGATTCTTCTTGGGTTTTGGGCAAAGCCTTACACTGGTATTTCGTCCCAACTTCTTCTTGCTAACTACTTCCATATGGAGGCATAGTATAACATCAGTTAAAGCCACATTTAAGCACGGCTTTTAAAGAACTTAGGTTTTCAGTGGTAGGATGCAAAGTCAGAATGGTTGAATTATTATATGTTTAGGTAAGAATATTACTGTTCCTTCTTACATTTAATGTCCTTTTCAGTGTAATGGTACGAGTGCTTTCTTCAAGTGCACTGTCTGAAAAAGCCATGCTACACGAAAAAAATACAAATTATCTAGTTAGAGCATGCTATTTCTAGTGGTGTCCAAGAGTCAGTTTTCTCAGCTGAGTCCCCGTCTTTGTGAGACAAACAACTGGATGCTGTTCAAAGACTTACTTGTTCCTGTGTGGTTACGGATCATTAGAAGTGGCTCATTCTTGAACAGTGTCTTAACTAGCGTCTTTTGGATGTTTCTTAGCTTTGAGGAATCTGACAAATTTCCATCTGGAGAGTAGAGCCTATTTCATATGAAAGGGCTATAATCCATGTCTGTTGTTCACATCTGTATTGTGTTAGCAAGCTAAGCTGCAAACCCATACAAAAGTGTTATGGTACAAAAATCTGAAATATGATGGCTTGCAGTTATTTCACAAATTATTTGCTACTCTGGTCTTCAGCCACCTTGAATTCCTGTTTAATGATTAACTGAGTATCATTTATTAAATGAGTATTGACTTTACAGTGGTCCTTTACCAACTGTACTATCAGTATTGCGGGAGATCCATTTTAAGGAGCTAGTCATTTGAATGAATATACTTTCGTATATGAATAAAATAGTTTAAAAGTACAGTAGCAAACCTGCACAGTAGGATTTTATGAGGATGCAAATATCTGAAAGTGAACTTCCAAAAGAAGGTATTTTGGAAGGAATGTGAACCACTGTTCTCTCCCATGTAAATGACTTTCAAGTTTTGAACTCGAGTTTTTATGCTTGCGTCTATGCATCTTAGGCACAAAGAATGAAATCTTTATGGTTGAAAGGTCCACATTTTTAACCATCATTTAAGATGCCATAAATTCCACACAAGGGCTCCTTTTTCCCAGGATACCTCTGAAAGAACGTCTCACAAACAGTATGATGCCTACCTACACCTCAAGGAGATCCTTAGAATGAAATATTAAATTGCTTTACCTTCAGACAGACATAACACCTTCAGAAGTCTAACACTTGTGAAATGGTGTAAAATGCACACTTCTGTCAGAAGGCTACATGTTTTCCTGGGAAAAAAAAGGAGTGCAAATCATTATCATGCAGTGATAGCTGAGATTTATGATCCTTGATATATGCTCAGGGGAGAGCAGCAACTTGCTAAACAGACATGCATACACAGCACACTACCTTATTTTAATTCACAGCGGCAACAGCAAACCACCATTAAAATATTCTGACAGGAGGCCTCTTCCATCCTTCTCTGCTAGCCTGTGAAGCAGTGTGATAATTTGTCAGATGGCAGGCAAAGCAGCTGCAGCATTGCATTACCAGGTCATGGTCCCAAGCTGTTTTGGGGGAGCTCCTTTGTGGGCATCTAATTGCAGGTGGCCCTTCCTAAACTAGAGCACTGCTGCTGCTCTCTGGCCCTGCAGCCTTTTACGTCGGGCACAGCTGGTGGACAGTGCCAGGGGAGGCCACCGCACTGCGCAGCTTTGGTGTCCGGGAGGTGTCCGCAGAGGACTGGGAGCAGAACCTGAGAGAATCTCCTCAGCCGGTCATGAGGCTCAAGAGGTCGATGTTACAAGGAATGGCCATTCATTATAATGACTGATCTCAGGGCAGAGCTGTTAATGAACAGGCTTGAGCAGCATCCTAAACACCCCATCTCTTAAGGGCATTAATCCCAACCTGACAGGTATATTGTGCCTCTTTCTGTTCTTCTGATGCCGACAGCTTCTCTAGTGATGGCTATGAATGAAGTCCACATATGTCCCATCCTTTCTGGTGCTAGAAATGACAGTTTTCTTGTTATTTGGGGGTGGAGCCACAGTAGCAGCCAGACAACCAGTCCTTGTGGTTGTATGAGCGTTTGAAGTGTTTCCAGAGTGAGCTGAACGGCTGCATCATATTCATAACCGGGGGGGGTCGGGGGGGGAGAGAGAGGGAAAAAAAATGCTGGAGAGTCTCAGGGAGTGTAAGAGCCAGAGGCTATCCAAAACTATTTCATACGGGACACAGAAAGCCACTTCCTCATGCCAGGAGAATTCCTTGATTTTTTTAGAGGAAGGGGAAACGCTTCTATGGTCTTGTGCAAAGCCTGGTGAGGCCGCTGGCAAGCCTCCCGCTGACTTCCCATTAGTTTAGGGCTCTGTTGTCCGTCATTAGTCAAAGCCGGCGTTACACCGATTTGCCGCTAATGCTAGCTGAAATCAATGGGATTGGAAGGTGCTCAGGAAGGATGGACATTTTTGTAAGCTAACA